GGAAATCACTCCCCCCCCCCCCCCCCCCCATGCACAGACCTTGACACTGTCTTTACACTGATGATGTCTTACTTCAGAGTGATTATTTGTGGGCCTTTTGTGTTTGATACAGATACTTTACTTTTGAAATGACAGGTAATCATAAGACATTTCATTTCATACACAGATGTATGTAAGCAGCATGTTTTTCCCAATGCACTTTTTGATTATTTATCAGTTATTTTTAATTATAGCAGTAGCAACAATAGGTATAGATCATTTCAAATGATTTATACTAGTATATATTGCTATTGTTATTTAACCATGTACAAATCATAGAACTTTATTATTTTATTAGCAAATCTTTATTGTGTTAATTTGTGGTCTGTCTGTCTCTTTATTTTTTAGTGTAATATGGAATCTCATCTATTAAATCTATTATTCTTTTATTGCAGTAAAACTTCTTCAGTGGAAACAGACAGATAAAGATGTCCGTCTTGCACTGGATGTGGGAAATATAACTGAGAAAGATGTAGATGTCGGTTACACACAGTCTGGTGTGCTAGTCAAGTTTGAAGGTAAGGTGCAGCACACACACACACACACACACACACACACACACACACACACACACGTGCACATACTCGCATCTTCAGTTTTGTATATTATTGTTATGTTCTAAATTGATTAATCAATTTATCAAATTTGTTTTTAGATGGACGTTCCTGGAAATGTTCATTCCCACATCCAATTCTTCACAATCAGAGCAGAGTCGTTCTGGCTGGCGGAAAAATTCTTTTGAACTTGAAAAAGAAAGATGAAGTAACTTGGAATGATCTTGGGGTAAGGTCTATATAGTGCTTTTTTTACCTTAATATGATATATTTAACTTCATGTTTAGTGTCCCTTTTCTGTAATGAACATTGCTATTTGCTTTACTTAAGTTGCTGTTAATATTTTTATTATTGTTATTTCTTTGGTTATGACAATTGTTGTTGTTCTTTTTACGTTATTTATCGATAATATGAAAAGATTTAACTTATAAAAGAAAAAAATTGTTTTTTTTTTTTTAGACATTCTCCAGTGAAAGAACTGGCGTAAAAAAGGATGCAGCAACAACTTCAGTTTCTGATGTAAAAAACAACGAGTCCCAAATAGAAAACGAAGAAGAGAGTGCAGCAAAGGAATCAGTGGACATGGTTGTTGGAAGTGAGAAGGAGAAAAGTGAAAATGACGGCGGTGACGAAGCTCCTTGTGTTTTGGATCATGTGAAACATGACTGGTTTGAAAAAGTATGGAGAATTTAGCAGATAACTGCATATAAAAACAGAGAAATACTGTCCTTAGGGCAATTCTAAAATTTTTTTTCCCCTGGTTTTCATCTTTTCTACTGCTAAACAGCCATCTTCCCCTTTGCTCCCCACCCCCACCTAAGTATGAGTTTTTTTAGTCTGGAATATACCCATTAAATATGACACAAGTGCTGAGCTAATGAGTGCTCGATTTTAGTGTGTATCAAAAAGCTAAATAAATGCACACTAAAATCTGGGCATTTGGCATCTCAGCACTTGGGCTATATTTCATGGGAGCATTTGAAAATTTAAAAGCCAAGATATGAAGTAACTGAATGTATTATATGTAAAAGACAAAATGTCAAGACTTATGGCTTGATATGGAGCATTTGATGAATTACAGAAAGAGTATACTGTATATGTGGTTAACTATGGTATTTACTTTTCTCATGTTTTCTAGGGTACAGACATCATGGTTGTCCATATGTATGTCAAACAGATCATTAAAGAGCACCTGGACATCCAGTATCAGAGTGACACAGTGAAGATACACTTCAAATCAAGGTAGATAATTTTGGGAACTTTTCTAGCAAAAAGTTTTGTTGCTGTGAAATAGTTTTTTTTTTCTGGTCTTTTGTATGTAGTTATTCTAGAAAAGTAGAACATGTGTCTGAAGAGTGAAAGTGACTCATCAGATATATGATCAAAGCCCTTTGATAAAGGACATGTACATCATGCCTCATAGGTGAAAAATCCGTTTAGTCTCTTTAGAAACATTTTTTGTTGCTAATTATGTGTTTTACAAATGATTTTAAACTGCAGTACAAAGTTCTGTAATGGTTTTGTAATTTTTTTTTTTAATTGAATTTTTTTTCACAGAGATACAAAGTTTCTCAGCTTACACCAGGGCACTGGAGAAGAGACTTGGTTTTGCTGGAACTTGAAGTTGAGGTGAGTTTTTCCTCCTCTTGAGAAAGGTGAGAAATTAAGAGACACTGACTAACACAGCTGTGTTTACTTCTGTCATAGATCAGAAAGTCACTAAGGCCATTTGAACAATGTGTTGTTCACTGCCTTTTCACAGCATTTTGACTAATCTTAACATGAAATTATGCTACGTGGGGTTTCTCTCCCTTACATAAGTTTGCTTCCAACTAGTTGGATTAATTAAAATTAGTGCAGGTAATGTCCTTGTCAAGAGTGATGGTTCTGCAAAGACAAATTGTTGGGGTCAGTTTAGAATAAACGGCTTAGGACCAGAAGTTGGTCTTGTTCTTACTTTTGATTGAATATTATGTAATCTTCACAGGCATGCTATTCAGCCAGATCAGTGTAAATCAAGGGTGACGGGAACTATGGTTGAACTGTCCTTGAAGAAGAAAGATGCTGTGAGGTGGAAGGCTCTGGAAGCACCTGTTGGTAAGTGTGTGCGTGTGCGTGCGTGCGCGCGCTTGCATGCGTGTGTAAGTGTGCTTTTCTGTTTGTGTGTCCAGTTTCAATTATCTTCTTAGAATTAAAAGAATTAAGGCAGATGTTAATGCAACTTCTCTAGATACAGCACCAGTAGCCCCAGCACCCCAGAAGGTGGACAACGGTGTCCAGCAGGAAATGACCAGTGGCCCAAAGCCTGTCACATTTGATGAGGTGGACCGTGTGACCACAAAGGGCACCAGCACAGAGGGAAGCACTATCCAAGATAGCACCAAGCCAGCAGTAGAGTCCACCAGTACAGCAGCACAGGTTTGTCTGCCTGTCTGTCATAGTTTTCAGTAATCCTTGTGTTTAGCAAAGGAAAAAAAAACAAATGCTCATCAAAATATTTTAGTATTTTAAAAAGTTCTCTTTCTTCTTGAAAGTTAATTAACTGTTCAAGTAGACACACCCAATACACGGACCCCAGAAATAAAGTTTTCTATGATTTATTTTTTTAATTCAATGGCTGCAAATTTGTAATAATGATGGTAACAATTTATGAAGAAAATCACAGCCCATAGGTGGCAGTTATATATAATTGTAACAACATACAATCTAATTAAGAACATAAAATAAAAGTAGGCTGTTAGAACAGATTATGAAATGGGAAACTTTGTAATACAATTGCCATATGAAAATGCACTTTAAAGAAAACAATGTCTAAGTTCTAAAATTTTCTACTTAAATACGATCATACATGAACAAAAATGTTTTTTGCAGAAGCCAACCTGTTTGGTTTCCCCACTGAACAAACCCAGTATTACCAAGCTTGTGGAGCCAGGATTTACTGGTCTGGACAACCTCGGCAACACATGCTTCATGAACAGTGTGCTTCAGGTCCTGGCAAACACGATAGAATTCAGAGATTTTTTTCTTGGTAAGCAGCTTTGTTTTTCCTTGTCTTCAGGTTCAATGCAGGTCAGCTTATTTATTTTCAAACCATCATTTCCCCATGCTTATAAGTATTGGATTTTGACTGTCTGTGGCAAATTTAAATTTATCTTTTTAAGGGTATACTTTTTATGAATTCATTTTTTGCTAAAGAACTTTTCTCTAACTAATTTGTAGTTATCTGTAATTTTGCCTGAAAGCACCTTATTTTGTGTGCCGTAATCATGGTAATGTTAGTTAAAAATTTAATTGATATAAAACTCGGAAAATATATGTCATTATTATTATATTTTATCACTGTAAAAATGTTTCCAGATGGTCACTACCTGAAGGACATTAATGAGTCCAACCCCCTGGGCAGTGGTGGGCGGCTGGCCGCCACCTTTGTTTTCCTGCTTAAAGTGCTCTGGTCAGGGACACGGTCATCCTATGCTCCCTCTAAACTGAAGGTCAGTACATGGACATGAACATGCATGCACACACACACACACATACATGAAAAAATGCGTGAATACGCATGCATCTACACATACATGCACATGATAAATAGATCCTTTCTTTCATTGTAATGTTAATTGAAGTTATTTAGATTAGAAGGTCATCAAATAAAAGTAGTTCACAGATGTTCATTGTTTCCAAGGCATGAGTCGAGTCTAGCCAAGTTATTTTTCATTTATTTCAGAATCTGTGATAAAAAATTTGAAATGAGAAGTTTGATTGACTGAACTTAAAAATGTTACACAAAGATGGGGGTTAGGAATGTTTGTTTCTATTTTGACTTGTGCCTTGATAATTTTATGATTAAAAATATATTTCAGAATCTGATAGCCATGAAAGCCAGTCAGTTCACTGGATTTGCCCAGCATGATGCGCAAGAATTCATGGCATTTCTTTTAGATGGACTACATGAGGTATGGACTGAGAAAATTTTATTCAGCAATTTTATTTAAATATATGTGACCAGTAATTAAAAAGAAACTACGTGAGATGTGTCGTGTATGATTTCAATGAAGTTTTTGAGATAAGGCCATGTGTTTAATTTTCTTTTTAGAAATACTTTCTCTAATTAAGTTTTAAAGCAGCTGTAACAAAAATTGAAAACAAGCATAGTATCCCGTATTTTATGGCACATTGCCTGTTTATGGTTACAGGACTTGAATCGTGTCCGAGACAAGCCTTACACAGAGACAGTTGAAGACAAAGGGAGACCAGATGAGGTAGCAAAGTCTTTGTTGCTGTAGTCATTGTTGCTGCTACATAAATTAAGAATTTCTTGACTAATGTTGCTTCAGCTAAATATGACATTCATTGTTTGATTTGTCATATTCATCCGGTTTTGTAACATTGTTAATTGAAAATTATAGCTGTTATTTGTAATCTGAGCAAAATTTTAGCAATGTTGTCAGGGAAAGAGAAAATGTAATAAAGAAGTTAAATAATACTAAGGAAATGACCACAACATTTAAAACTGGTGTTTATTTTTATAACTTAGGTCAGGTTTTTTTTTTTGTGTTTAAGCAGGGAACGTATTGATCAGGAAAAAGAAATTTAAAATGAGAGGTTTTTTGTTGTTACTTGTCTTTGGTTTTCAGCATATTATACAAAAGTTTGAAAATAAATTGATTGCACCTGCATCCAGGTTGTGGCTGCCGAGGCATGGGAGGTATACCAAAAGAGGAATAACTCCTTCATAGTGGACTCTTTTCAAGGGCAGTTCAAGTCCAAATTAGTCTGCCCTCATTGTAACAAGGTTGGTGACACTGAATTGCATTATGTCATTTAATCACATCAAAGACAGCTACTTTGATTTGTGCAAAACTGATTTTATGATGAAACCGAGGAAAACTGTTGAAAATTTGAGAAAGAAAATTGAAATAAGTGTTTGTGATGTAATTAGATAACACAACTAATGTTAGTAACCATGTTATATTACCAGACTAATGGTATTTAAAGAACCAGAAGCATTTGATTTAAGTTTTATCACAAAATTGTTAAAAAAAGGATACATGTTTCTTCAATTTTTGATATCGCTTGATTCATTTGAAATATTTCAAGAAATCATTGAAGTCAAGTGGCCTAATAAAGCATTGGCCAGTTTCTGAACACATTTACAAATTTTCACTGGTCTTTCTTCATTTTTGGTGTGGGATTTTTTATCATTTGTCCTAGAAATGACGTGTATATATAGTTCTCAATACCTGTTAATTCCATAATGTATTGTAAATTTTCCAGGTTTCCATCACATTTGATCCCTTCATGGTATTATCAGCACCACTGCCCAAGAAGTTAGTCTCTTTTCCTGTCATATATATGTCAAAAGACTCATACACAAAGCCAATCAGGGTAAGTGGATTAGTAAAGTCATCAGATAATAAAAGTGTCTTTACAAAGGTTTCTTTTGTTAGTTTTCTGGCATCCCAACCACTGAGTTCACTAAAAAACTCCAGACAACCAGAAATTGATTTTCATGTAAAAATAAAAAAAAAATTCAGTCCAATGACCAAAAATTTTTTGTCTTTGTATAAGCTGAAACTTGTGGACTGAAATCTTCATATGACTCATATGACAAATTTGGTCCTAAGGTTTCACAGGTCCAATGAAGTGTACTGTAATTATACTTTGCTGCACTTTTTTCAGTACATGATCAGATTACCTTGTGATGCTGGTATAGGACAGCTTAAGCAGGCCATTACAGACAAAACAGGGGTAGATCCTAAAAATGTAAGTTATAAAAAAAAAAAAAAATTATCAGTCCAAGGAAACCTGTTACACTGTTCATTAGTTTGTGGTTAGTTTTTAATGAAGTTGGGTTTTTGTTCTAGAACCAGTGTGATTTGTGCTTTGCCTGTAGTTTTGACCAATGATTTATTAGTATTTAGACTTCTGTTATGGTTTTGTTCTTTATTTTCAACTATGAAAACAAATTGCAATTTACTCTCTTTTATTCTTTATTTCTATAAGTATGTAAGATGATTTTGATCTTTGGCCCTTGACATTATAATATTTTTAATATAAATGACTATTTTATATAATATTTCAGCTAAGACTACTGGAGATGTACAAAAGTAAAATACACAAACTTATAGACTGTGATGGAGATGTAAGCACCATCAATGTCAACGATATCATTCTAGCGTAAGTCAGAATTGTGTTGAAATTACAAATATTTTTCTCCTGGTTGTATGTAACAAGAAACTAAAAATTCCAACAATTTATATAATGATATTTAGTTTGTGCTAGACACTTTTAAGCCTACTTGCCCTTTGAGCCACCAGGATCAAAGAATCTGTTGGTGAAAGCAGAAAAGGAGGCTTAGCCTAGTAACTGAGTGAATTTGCAAAATTTGTTATGGTCCGGTCTTTATTTTCAAATGTCACTTACCAACATAGCACTTAAGAGTACAAACAAATAAATCCTTCTGTCAATTCCCTGAGTTAATAGTTATAATGGTTATAAATGTAATACTTAAATGTTGATTTTGTCTTGTGCTTCAGGTTTGAAGTATTGTCAGAAGATTTGGTTGGAGAGCCTGTTGTAGAAATTAATATGATACAGGTAAGAGTATAATTATAATGATATTTCTGTAATTACACCAAAAGCCTCATTTCCTTATAATTGTGACTTGTTGGACACAAAAATATTAAAATGCAAGAAATAATCCTATGTTCAGCTGTTGTTAAGTGAAAAATATACATACTGCAGTAGTACGGATTTTTCTGTAAATTTGCTGTGATAATTCTGAAATAAATTTCAGCGCACGGTATTGCCTGTTCAACTCCCAACACGTTGCTCCAACTGCAGACAAGAGTGCCCTCCTGACGGCAAACTAAAACGCTGCACAAAATGCTACAGGGTGGGATACTGTGATCAGTAAGTGCATCCTGGGCCCTGTAACTTGAAAGCATCACGCACTGCGACTGAGCGCAAGCGTCTCAATTCCATAACTCGCACATATTTGCCCCATTTAGTACACTGTAGCCTCTATGTGATATCGCTATTTGCAATACGCAATGCTTTCGAGTTACAGGACCCTGAACGATATTTGGCCTATTAAAATGCACAAAGTTGTTACTGTATCCCGAAAACACCACTTACCTTACTGTCTTGGGCCTTCTACTGTGCAAGTGCAGCGTGACGTTATATCTTAAAGACGGATTTTCAATTATGTCAATGCATAAGTGGTTAAAATATCTTCTGATAGTGTCAACTGGGACAATGTATTGTAATTACCTTAACTAAAATGTGAACACACATTTTTAAAATACAGATATTGCTTTTCTTGTTCTAAATAATTAAATTTGAAAATTTTTATCCCTCAGTTTGCTTTGCAAACGGATACATCAGGAATGAGACTGCCATTTAGTGAAAAAGTCTGAAAATGTGGCATGGGGTCTAGGGGATGATCTAGCCGATGATATTTTGGCTCTCAAAAAGTCGGAAATCTGCCTTTAGTCTGAAAACTTTTCCCTGAAATTTACCAACATCTTGGTCAATCAAATTTCTCTCCAAATTTTTCAGAACATGCCAGAAGAATCACTGGCAGCAGCACAAGATGGCGTGCAGACAGGTGATGGAGCCGGTGGGATATCCTTTCATCTTCAGCTTACCCCAGTCTCAGGCCACCTTCAGCAGGATTTGTCAGGTGGCAGAAGCCTTTGCAAGGTAAAATATCACACACAATTTAAGTTTGCTGAAATTTTCAAAAAGGTAAATTTATTTGCAGTTTTGGTATATTTCTTTAAAACAATTTGTGTGAAGGCATTTACCATATTTCTTCATTTTAAACACCCCCTCAAAAAGGTCAGCATTTTTTTTCAGGGGGGTGGGGGTTATTAACAAACTTGTGACATGGGGGTAAGATAGAAACGATAAAATTGAAGACACCTTACTTACAACATATATAATTTGTGTTTTACAGGTACTCAGTGGATGTTTTCCAGCCTCCTGTGCAACAAAAAAGTTGTGAGACTTCATCATTATCATCATCTTCATCATCGACCTGTACTACTACTTCGGCTACCTCCTCCTCATCCCCAACGACTTCTACATCTACCGATTCAACACTTGTTGAGGCAGACGGCATCTCATTAAATCAAGAAAATTTGACAGATCTCAGCTCTCAAAACTCAGACACGGATGTATCCGACAATGGTGGTTCATCTGCACAAAGAAATTTAGACATCCAGGATAATAATGTTTCAGGAAAGGAAATGGACCTATCAGAAACAAATAATGTAGTTTCTGCGGAATCAAATGAAGAATTAAACAGCCAATCAGAAAGCTCAGAAACTACTGCCGCTCTCTCTGACACCGTGCACAATGAAGAACAAAAATCTTCAGAGGAAAATTCTGACAAAGAATCTGAGACAATAGAAGAGATAACAGGCAGTGAAAAGCAAGAACTCGGAAGTGGGGACAGCAAAAATGGGGTCTGTTCTGAGACTACAGAAAATGATGTAGCCTCCACTAGTAAAACTGTCAAAGATGGCGTTGGGTCTAGCACGAAGAATGGACCTCCACAGCGTCTGGTGTTAGGCAACCCTCACTCACACAAGACAAACCCACTGTTTTTACTGAAACTGGTCAATCAGTTTGGACAAAATATATCGGGCCAGGATCCAAGAGAATTAGAGGACAAAGGTAACTTTTGTTTTTCTTTTTAGCATGCATACCTGTATGAAGACATATTGAACTTATGCTTGAGTAACCCACCTATTTTTTGACTTTCGAAAAACATGCTAAACCCAACAAGTGCAGGTCACCGCAGTCAATTTTCGTTGCCTTTTATTATTTTGTATTGCCGTTTAAAGTTTTAGATTTGTTGACTAATTTGATAAAGGGGAAAAAATGGAAAGTGAAAACAGTTTTCTGTGTGATATTTAAGCAGACAAATCTGATTCAATTTTTTTAAAGGTATGAATTGATTTATTTACAATTATTTTCTTCAAATCAGACGAGGAGCCCTTGGATCTGGACACTGAGGACCCCGTATGGATGGCCATGGACTGGAAGAACGCAGAGAAGTTGACGCCATTTGTCTTGGTGCAGTCCAAGGACCTTGAGTGTGAAGATCATCGTAGTGTTCGCAACGCAGACAGCTTGGGTAGGTGTTTGATATGGATGCAAGGGCGATTCCCCCCCCCCCCCTCCTTTCCACAGGCAACTGTACCCTTATCAGTTAGTTGCCTATTAATCTTCACACAGTGTAATATATCAAAAAATGTTTCCTTTGTCTTAAGAAATTATATACCTTGAGGAAGCATTACAAAAGTATTACAAAAATTGAAGTATTATTTTTTCAAAAGTAATTACTGTAATCCAATTGATGGTGAGAAAAATGTTTAAACATTTACAGACACGTAGAATGATGTGACATTTTCTTTATGTGACACATGGTAAAATATTTTCAGAAAAGCCAAGCATTACTTTGAATCAGTGTCTGCAGCTGTTCACAGAACCAGAGGTCTTGAGCCCTGAAGAAGCTTGGTAAGTTCATTGACTTTCTGAATTTTTCACTTCTGTAGAACTAAACTGCAAGGTCATTTGTTTTCAACAGGCATGTTTATTGGACTGTCGGTTCCACAGCAAAAAAAAAAAAAATTTATTGTTGTTGTCTTTTTGTCCACCATACAGCAACAACACAAGAGTGAGAGTTATTGCAAGTTTGTGTTGTTATTGTTAAGGATGGTACTGTCCCATCATGCAAACAATATAAAGAGTTGTAACAAGTTTGTACTGTTATTGTTATTGTAGGTGCCATCCATCTTGCACACAGTGTAGAGAGTCGTAACAAGTTTGTACTGTTATTGTAGGTACTGTCCACAGTGCAAACAACACAGAGAGATGAAACAAGTTTGTACTGTTATTGTTATTGTAGGTACTGTCCACAGTGCAAACAACACAGAGAGTTGTAACAAGTTTGTACTGTTATTGTTATTGTAGGTACTGTCCACAGTGCAAACAACACAGAGAGTTGTAACAAGTTTGTACTGTTATTGTTATTGTAGGTACTGTCCACAGTGCAAACAACACAGAGAGTTGTAACAAGTTTGTACTGTTATTGTTATTGTAGGTACTGTCCACAGTGCAAACAACACAGAGAGTTGTAACAAGTTTGTACTGTTATTGTTATTGTAGGTACTGTCCACAGTGCAAACAACACAGAGAGTTGTAACAAGTTTGTACTGTTATTGTTATTGTAGGTACTGCCCACAGTGCAAACAACACAGAGAGTTGTAACAAGTTTGTACTGTTATTGTTATTGTAGGTACTGTCCACAATGCAAACAACACAGAGAGGCAACAAAGCAGATGTCCCTGTGGAAGTTGCCCCATATTCTCATCATCCAGCTGAAACGCTTCTCTTTCCGTAACTTCATCTGGAGAGACAAGATAGACAAGATGGTGCAGTTTCCTGTGAGGTGAGATTTTTTTAAAGCAAACAAACAATTTTTCTACCATAAGTATGGATTTAAAAGTATACATTGTGTCAGGAAAAAAAGGTTCCTGGAAATTTCTGCTCCAGGAAATTTAAGCAGTGTCCTTTTCGTTTCCAAACTTGTTATGTATTATTCTATCTAGATAGATAACTTGAAATTTTTCTCAGTATGATAACAATTTAATAAGTATAATGTTACCATTTAGGAACTTGGACCTTACGAATTTCTGCATGGGTAAAATTCACGGTGAGGGGGAAATGCCCATATATGACTTGTATGGAGTGGTGAACCATTATGGAGGAATACTTGGCGGCCATTACACTGCCTTCACGCGCCTGTATGACCCAGAGAATCCAAGAAAGAACAGACTTGGTGAGTATTCCAGAAAAATGGCCAAGATAGTGGGCATTTTTGAGTTTTAAATTGAGTAAAGTGATGTGTGGAAAGTGCTAAAAAATTGTTGAGGACCCAAAGAAATTGGTGAATTGTATGAATTTTTCTTTCTCAGAATGCCTTATACGCAATTTATCTAGCTTTCATTTTAATACTCATTGCACAAATATGCTGCTTATAAAAATGTAAATTAGTTCTAATTCTAACATCTTTTAAAAATTTAGACTTGTCAAAAAAAAAAAAAAAAAAAATTCAGTGGAAGAAGTTTGATAAATAGCCTGTATGTAGACTGAATGGATTCTGATGTAGTTAATACAAGCAGATATCAGTAAGACTGAAGATAGGACTGGAAAGTTCTGTGAACATGTTCAATAACTGGTCACTGTTCCTGATTTGAGACTAATAGATTCTTAGACCCTGATGGCTCAAAGAGCACGTAGGTTTGAGTATTTTTGGCACTTTCTGCAGTAGACACTCTGGCTAGACTAAGTAAGCATCTTCTTGAATCAATCAGTAGTTGAAAAGGTTTTTAGTACAGACTGTAAACATCTTTATTATTAACTTAATCTCTGAACTAAATAAGGTTGTTTTTTGTCTTTCCTTCAGACTGGAGAATCTGTGATGACAGCAACGTGGGCTACATCAGCGAGAAGCACATAGTGAGCCCCGCAGCCTACCTTCTCTTTTATAGGCGGCGCCACAGTCTCATCCAGTTTCCACGGGAACTAACCCCTCCCCCTCAAGACCAGGATGCTGATGGCGATGAAGAGGCAAATGATGAAGAGGAAGAAGAAGGAACGGGTCATTCTTCTGTGTCAAATTTTGAGTCTGAGACAGATACTGCATTGCAGTCAAGAGAGTGCGAGGAACCTTTGTTTACTGACATGGATGCTGTTGATTAGGCAGATATTAAGGGACACTTCCTGAAAAAATGAATGAAATATTGGAAATTAATTTTTTAATTTCATTTTTGCATATTTTTGTCATTTTTATATTACTTCTTATCATTATTATTATTTCAGGTTAGAAAAATGATCACTTTATTAATTTGTTCTTACTGAAACAAATATACTGTATCGAAGAATTGAATCATCATTTTCCAAAAAGAAAGCGTGTAAATAATGACTTCACTTTTCTCTCACTTTTCTGATCTCACTTGTAAGAAAACGTAATGTGGCATTGATTTTGTTTTTTCATTCTCATCACCTCTTGGAATGGGTGAAAATACCAGTTTTGTCCTAAAAACTATTAAGTCTTTTGAATGTTTTCTTCAGTTTTGTTTTATTTATGAGATTCAGTATTCAGTAAATAAATGTGATAGAGAGAAAAACACTGTGAAGGTTGTAATTATAGAATTATAATTATGTTATCATTGTCATATAATTTTTTTCAGTAAATATTTCTGTATATTTACATGCTTCTGTGCTGCTACTTTCCAAGTTATATGTGATGTGTGCTAAAATGATTATTGCATTTAGGATAATTTTGGTGTGTGACACTTACTAATATATGAACAGAAAATGATAACATTGTCTTTTTTCCAATGTCAAGGTCAGTATAACAGCTGAAATTTGGTCAGTATTCTTAGTGGCATTATTTGAAATTTCAAGGTGAAAGACCTGTCACATGTTAGCAGATATGGGGGAAACTTTGGAGATACTGAAGGTGCAGGGGCCTGCACTACAAGAAACCTGCAGGTCCTCCCAATTTTGTTCTTGTCTGTTATTCGGGGGCGTCTTGATAATCCGAAGTTTCATTGGTCTGAAGGTTCATTGGTCCGAAAAAATCATTTGTACTCGCTTCTGATGAACTTCAATTTAGTGCCAGTAAACTTTACACTTTGTTCATGCATTACTTCCGTATCAAACCTTCAGATCAGTGAACCTTTGGCCCCTGTTATTCCACGTTTACATATGATTTACTATTAGGAATTATTGTATTTTCACTTAAACCTTGCCAGTCCAGAGGACCTGTGATTTCAAAAAATCATGGCCAGTCAGTCAGGCAGCTTCCCCATTTCTGTCTTGGACTGTTTTGTTGTGATTGAAATGTCAGCGTTAATTTTCCATAAGATTTTGATATGTAGCTCTGTGACTCAAGAGGGCCGGGATAACCCCCAAGCAGAGATTTGTTAAAGCTTATGAATGGTTTGGTAAAACTACCTGCCATATTAAACACAAAGGCATGATTCTAAGCTTATTAGGTCTGTTATGCATATGTAAAAGAAAATGAGAAATTGTAGACTTAGTGGTTAATCTGTGTTGTTATTGAAGATTGGCACAAGATTAAAAATTTAAAGACACAAGGACAATTTGACTATATAATGTATAGGTCACAGGGCTTTGAAAAAAGTATTGATTTTGTGTTGTTTTGTTGCTTTTACGGTTTTAATTGATAGGGGGTGTCCCACACAGGGAACACCAGGGGTGCTTAAGGACAGCTGCTACGTGATCTGTTATCAGCCTCCATATATTTCCAGGTCTTTCAAATCTCATGTGGCATTGACTTTGACATGTGATTAGGAAAAATGTATTTATAAAGTGACACAGTTTATTTAGTGTCTTTTAAATAACAAATCAGGAGTAAAGAAGCCTGGAATTGTACTTTTTTTGTAATTGATGTTGACTGGGATATATTATATACAAGTGAAATTTGTTATATCTTTAACGTTTATGTTGTTGTTTTTGGTGAATAACAATTTTTATGTTCTCTTCTTCTTCTAGATTGATTTCCTGTTGAAAGGGCATATTCTTGATACTTGTTTTCTTCAGACTCTTTCAAATGTTTATCAGCTCATAATTTTGAAGTATATGATGATAAGATCTTCATTAAGCATAGACTTTTAATTATAAACTTCTTGCCCAGTGGGGATAGAGGAGAGAAATAAGCTAATGGAAATTGTTAACTCACACACGCACACACACCAACTTTGTTTCAAATAAAATGGGCGTATGTTAACTCCTACTCATTGTTTATGTTGTGCAAGATTTTTTGATTCCCTTTGTGTAAATTTTCTTTAGAAAAATATAGACTGTATGGACTCAAAATTACACTCTCTCTCTCTTTCCTTTTTTTCTTCATCCTCATTTTATCTTTATTTTTATTTATTTATTTATTGTCGGGGTAGGAATTAGATGATGCAACCGGTTGCAAGCTCAATTTACTCGAACTCGGTAGCATAAGTTTCGTGACGTCCATCCAGATCACTGACATCTGATAACCCAGCTGATAACGCCGTCTATATATTGAGCGAGTTTTCACGCGTGTTAGCTTGGCGCTATAAACACTAACGCACTACACGAAAATGGCGAACCTCGTGGAACTGTTCACGAGTATTGGTTTAACGGAGCAGAGAGCGAAGGAAACTGCCAAAAATGAAACGGTTTCAAATGTTTTAAAAGATATTATAGACCAGGTAAGTATGTAAAAAGTTTCAGATCTATTGAAAGTTATAAACATTACAAGGAACGACTATAAAGACACACGTGTGGAGTAAATATTGCACGTTGGCTGTCGTTGCATCAGCCGGCATAAAGATGTGTTTAACGTTTCAGTATGGCTTTCTCTCAAACAATATCCTGAAATTAAACGATTGACTTACCTTATAATTTAAAAGCAGTTTCAAGTTGGTATTAAACAGTGTGTTGCTGTGTTTTAACGCACAATGTGCGGCACATTTCAGAATCGGGATCTAGCCCCCCCCCCCCCATATCCCCTTTCACTTTAACTCAGTATTCATGATGTCAGTCAGGAAAAATCGTGCCACCCTATCTTATCCACTGTAACTTATTTGTCATTTGCAGCATGATAAGAGTCAATTGCCTGTAATTGAGCCCCCTGTATGTTGCGCACTGAAAATTTAAGAGCAGTTTTGAAAATTTTTTTCTGAATCTGAAGTGATAGTCATTGCAGTGCTAGTTACATGTCATTATGTCCCCGCACCGATACTCCCACACACCAGTACATCCCCGCACCAATACTTCCCCACACTGATACTCCCCCACAATTGCAGATATACTGAGGGGGAGTATCAGTGCGGGGGAGTATAGACATGACCCCGCAGCGCTTGCTAGAGATATAAACTTGATGAGTGGCAGAGAGCGGTGTCATGTTTGACCTCCCCCCCCCCTCATGCCCCCACTTTAATCCTTTTGTTTTGAGTACCAAAGGGGGAAGCAGCAGGTACAATTTATGAAGACTTACAAAAGGTCTTGTAAAAGCATTGCTGAAAAATAGATTGTAGCCCTTCCTTATGATTATAAAGAGAGAGAGAGAGACAGAGTGTAGTCACTGGTGTTAATCAACTTAACTCGGTTGTACATGAAGAGATGTAGCCATTTACTTGACTCTTATGTTTTATTGTGACTTACATTAGACAAAACATTTAACAGTATCAATTCCTTATGAAAATGAAGTTGTTTTCTTTTATAATACATCTTTTTGTCTGGCTGTAGTCTATAAGTATAAGCATCAGAGCAGTAGATCTTTAGCTTTGCCCTTGTTTTAAATCCGGGCTTATTAACATAGCCCAGTCATTTTAGACACTTGAGACTATGTGTTGTAAAATTGCTGTGCCATGTATTTGTTTAAGATTTATTGAGGCTCCTCACTGGGATAAGATCTTTCTGACTATCGACAGATTTTCAGACTTTTTGGGAACTAAAATTATCATAGGCCTGCCATACTTTCCAAACTTTTGAAAGTAGCAGACATTTTCGGTGAAAAAGCGGAATTCTGTGTTTTATAAATCATTTCTGATGGTTCCTGAGATTTGTCAAGGTTAGGTGTTCATCAGTATCGCTGCCTTTATTTTTTATCTAGGCATTATAAACAAGACCGTGTGTAATAAAAAAATAAATGCTGTGCCATGTATTTGTTTAAGATAATTCAGGCCCATACTGCCTCTATTTTTTTTTATCAAGGCTCGGTTGCATAACCAAGGTACCATAGATAAGACTATGTGTAATAAAATGTTGTACCATGTATTTGTTTAGGATTTATTCAGGCCTCTATTTTTTTTATCCAGGCTCGTCAACATAATCCAGGTACCATAGACAAGACCATGNATCTCTATTTTTTTTTTATCAAGGCTTGGTTGCATAACCGAGGTACCATAGATAAGACCATAGGTAATAAAATGTTGTACCATGTATTTGTTTACGATTTATTTGGGCCTCTGCTTTTTATCCAGGCTCGTCAACATAACCCAGGTACCATAGACAAAACCATGGGTAACATGCTGTACCACGTGGCTACCAAGTTGAAGTCTCAGATTAGAAACAAGCAAGGGTTACTGGTGGAGTACATTGCTAAGAAGAAATTAGCCACAGAACAACAGCTCAATGGTATGATCGAGTGTTTGTTTCTCACTGCAGTATATGATGAGTATTATTAGTACTGATCTTGAAATAAGTTCATTAGTTTGGTAAATTGATAAGATTAAGTTTCTGAAGATGTCAGATTAACGATGAAATGTATCTAGTATCTTCAATCCTTAGTTTGTGGTATTAAAAGAACCTTTACAGTCTCATAATTGCTGATCGTGTAATATTTTTGGCTTAATATTTTCTTAATGAAGAAAAGAAGAAATTTGCTTTTAGAAGCAGAGTTGAGTCCATCTTCATTTATTAAAAAAGAGAAAGCGAGTTCAGCTCCATTTGTACATCTTTACTTCAGCTGCACTTGACTATCTACTTCACCATCCAATGGATCCGACAGATATTAAAGCTTTCGAAACAGCGTGTGGGGTCGGGGTGGAAGTTTCTCCAGAACAGATTGAGGAAGCAGTAAGTGGTGACACCTATCCATGATAGTCTATGAATTATTTAAAGTGATTAGCATTTACAGGGCTTGACAAAAAACTAGTTTCAGGCACTCTTTGAAAATCTACTTACCATACTTGGGTTTGCGGGCCAGTATGACTTGGAACTCTAGCCTTTCCAATTGCTTATTATGTAAAAAGTTTCCCTTGGGAAACTGGCATGAAAACTTGCATGAAAAATTCCTTGTAAGTATGCCATGAGACCATGCAACAACAGGTATCAGCTATTGAAAAAATCAACATCATTTTGTTGAGATAATTATAATAGTGGTATTGGATTGGATTAGTTACACACTAAAGTATATATATATTTAGCTTTTTATATAGAAGATAAATGGCACCAATTTCAACTATCTCCAACATACAACCTTTGTTAATCCCATTCCAGGTGGAAGCTGTGATAAAGAAATACAAGTCCAAACTGGTGGAAGAGAGATACAGATTCAACAGTGGCCTTTTATTAAGTAAGTCCTGCACCAAGGTTTGAATCGACATGCCCTTGTGGGCAAGCCTGCAGTGGATTCTCCTTTATAAAGCCGCATGTCCATTTGAGTTGACACTGCTTTACTGAGTGTCATGAAACCTAAGCTATATCTTTCTTTTTCGAAATGGGCACAATACTTCTTTTAATTGGACTAGGACTGGTTTATCTTGGGTCAAAGTAGACTAAAAGTTTAAGTCTTAAATATTTAGACCAGTTTTTGGACTAAAGCTGTTTTTGTGAGAGAGATCCTTGTGCCTGTGAAATCAGAAATTTAAATGTATTTCACATTTTGTGTATTTGCAGTGCAGGTTGGAAGACTTTTTAGTATGTAATTTTAATAGCACACCAGTTCTTTGTTGTCATTTATCACTATGGCAACAATGTCAGAATTGTGCGACATAAAATTCTGCAAGAGAAATTAGCAGACTAGCTTTGTGTGTGTGGCATGGTCTGTCAGTCACTTTTGTACAAATATCCAAATAAAAATGTGATCCTTTGACCTTTCCTTTTGTTTTATCCAAAGCACTATTTATCTTTATACCTCCGCCAAGGAGGTTGTTTTCACCCTGTCTGTCTGTTTGTCATCAACATAACTCAAAAAGTTATGGACCGATTTTGGTGAAATTTTCAGGGTAGGTGGGAAATGGGTTAACTTAGAAGTGATTAGTTTTTGGTGGTGATCCAGATCAATAATCAATCAATAGTCAATAATAATAAAAAATTGCTGCCTTGGTGGAGGTCTGCGCTCTTGGGGTGCTTTTCTAGTTTAGCAGATGAATTGATTTGATTAATTTTTTCATGCATCAATAACTATATAGGAAAGTATTATTAAATTTATTTTACCTTCTGATAAGTGACCCTTAAATTGCCAATTACAGAGGAAGCAAGGGAGACGTTGAAGTGGGCGGATGGCAAGGCTTTAAAGAATGAAGTTGATATCCAGCTGCTGGACTTACTTGGACCAAAGACTGCCGAAGATCTGGAAAAACCGAAGGTAATAAAGGGAACTGGAGGAGACCGCTTTTTCTCTGAGCCCAGGCCTTCACTCCCGTTCACCTCCAGCTGAAAATTACCTCTTGGCTTCACGTCTTACACCACTAGACGTCACTTCCGGCATAATCCTGTCTCCTCCGGTTCCTTTTATTTATATGACTAGAAATTTAGCTCAAGTAGAACCTGGGCTGTGAGGAGAATTGAGTTAACACTTCCAGGGCTATTTTCACTTATCACATGTCTGCAATTTGTATGTACTTTGAGGTTTTCCCTTACCAACAACTGTGTAAGGGCTGATGTATCTGTCAGCATCCTTTCCCCCCTTTCTGTCAGCACGCCATATATTTAGTTTTAAAACTTCACTTCCAATCTGGTGTTGCTGAAAAAAGAAAGCTCACGTATCTCTGCCTGCACTTCTATGTTGGCAAGAGCAGGTCTTGTCCCTGAGTTTAAACCTTTGATGACTTCAAACCATAATCGTTTTCTCATTTTATCGCTGTTGTTAACTGTAAATCTTTACAAAAAATTTATAAAATTTCCTGTGAGTACATTTGCCTGTGGGTGGTATGGGCTTGTCACCCCCACTGCTGCAATCTGTGATCTTGGAAATAGTCTCAACCATGACATTAAGAGAGCTCTCCGCCTTGATCTGATACAATAACGCTTGGTTAACCAAACATCCTCCTCCTCATCGACTGTTACTCTTTAAAAGAATATG